TCAAGTGTGGCAGCGGTAGTGAGGTTGGCCCAGGATCGGACATTGTTTCGTTCTGCTGTACATGGGGTCGCTATGAGTCAGTTCCGACTCGATGGCACTTGACAACACAACTATTGGTAAGTGCTGAGTGCATTGGCTTCCTGAGTTAAACATTCATTTGCAGCTGAGTGATGACCAGAAGGTGACCACAGGAATGTTGTCATCAAGAGCACTGCCTCCAGGAAGAAGCCACTGGTGGTCAGCACAGGCAGCCTGTGGACTTGCCAAGTTCCAAGCCTTGTCCCTGCACAGCAAATCACGATTTGGGGCCACTGAGCTCTAGAATTCCATTTCATGCTCATCTCCTTTTCCCAGAGAGCAATTCTTTTTTTTTTTTTTTAAGTTTTTATTGTGAATTATGTGGGTTTACATGGGAGAACATCAGTTTTACATTCATCCTACCATATTTCATTTCATTGCAATGATTACAGTCCCCTCCATGCATCATCAAACAACCAAAGGGTACACCCCACAGGCCTGTCCCCCCGGCCATCAGCACACAGCCCTTCTCCCTCTCTAAGTCCAGAGTCCCCAGCCGCTTCATCTGTCCATGTCATTGTCTCTGCCTCAATTTCTGGCATCACTGCTTCTCTGGGTAGGGTCCCGCACTCTGCTCTTCTCACTTAATGGTCCCAGGGACCTCTGCTCCTGGACTACAAAACCAATCACTCTCCTCCTTTTGTTACAAAACATCTACCTTTACATTTCTGACCCTTACAGTCAGTCCTGATAGCAATTATTCACCATTGTACCACAAGAGTCTTATCCCCATCTCCTTTTATTAGCCCCATCCCAACAGATTGGAAACCATTTGGTGGAGAGTCTACCTTCCCCTACCCTTTATGGAACTAGGCTCCCTCTTGAAAGTTTGTAAGCCAGTCACTTCTTGCCTTTGTAGTTCCTCCCAGCCCCCTTCCCCCCACCCCCATTTTGGGTAGCCAGTGCCTAAGTTGCCCATCCCTGTCAAACCTGTGTACTGAGGGGGTGGGAGTGATCTTCGCTGTAAAGATTTGTTCCCTTTTTTGAGCTACTATACCCATAAATATAGGTTGTGGTTGTTGTTATGTGCCGTGGAGTAGGTTCTGACTCATAGTGACCCTGTACAGGGTTTCTGAGGCTGTAAATCTTTACGGGAGCAGAAAGCCTCATCTTTCTCCCGCGGATCAGCTGGTAGTTTTGCACTACTGAAGTTCATCAAATTGTAGTGGGTTACTTTTTTTTCCCCTCTTCTTTCTTCTTTTAGTCAAATTCTGATCATCCAGCCACTGAAGCCAGGTCAAGTGGATACTATCTGCAAGTATGGATTTTTTATGCATCTCCCCTCACTTCACATCAGCTGGACGCTTCACTCTCTGCCCTACTCTTCTGTGGCCATGTCACTGCCTCTGGGCCCAGGAGTCCCCGGATCTTGCCATACTGCTGGCCAACTTGATCTCCACCCGGGTTCACAGGAGTCTATTGAATGTGGTTGGACTTAGCTCCCAATTTCATTGCTGTTTTTCCCCCCTCTTCCCCTTATCAGTGACCAATATGGTCACCAGCCAGACCACATGACTGCTTGTGTATTTCCCCTTGAGTATTAGTCTTGGAAGGGGGTTTTTCCTGACCACTTGCTTTGATGGCTCCCAGGCGAACAACTTGTTTGTTCTTGTAGTAGTCAATCAGACTACCTGTATTGTTTATTTTTCCTGTTGGTCTTTCTTTCAAGAAGTATCTTCTGTTCTTCTAGCTCCTCCAGGCTGGCCTATTTGTCCTTTCAAGTGGAAATTTCCCACCTCAGACCATTCTGGATGGGGTTCTGGATTCCACCTATGGTCTTATGCAGTGCAAAGGCTCCACAGGAAGCCTCTTTCACTGTGCAACTTCTAGCCCCCTTTAAATATTCCAATCAGTTATAGGCTGAAGAGGGACTTACAAGCTTTCTATTGTGATGTTTCTGGCTATTCTTTTCTCTCCCCCTCAAGTGTCTATTTTACAGTGGTAGGCAAGGGAAACCAAGATTCAAAAGACAGCCAAGCATCTTAATATTATTCCTCTCTTTTACCCATTCAAACATGCCTCAATCCCTGTATCCCAGAGCCCTGTTGTTCCAAAGTTGTGCATACATCATCATTTACCTCTGACCCACTTAACCCATGCAAACCTGCTTAACTGTTTCCTCCCATCCACCTTGTTCTTCCATTCCACTCCCCCTTCCTGTGTACTGCTACCCCCCCCCCCAGCAACCAAGCTATCCTCTGTCTATTCCCTATACCCTGTGCTCTATCTTCCCCTCCCGCCCTCCCCTCCTTTCATCTATCACAGTGATCAGCAAATATATATATAATTTTTCCCCCTTTTAGGGTGGGTTCTTTTTATCTTTTACAATAATGGTCCTATGCAGTTTTTCTACTTTTGTGATTAATTTCACTCAACATAATGTCCTCAAGCTTCATCCATGTTATGCGGTGGCTTGCAGCTTCCTTGTTGTTCTTCAAGGTAGCATAGTATTCCACTGTGTGTACGTACCACAGTTTGTTTGTCCATTCTTCTGTTGATGGGCATTTAGGCTGTCTCCATCTTTTTGCTATTGTAAATAGTGCTGCTATGAACATTGGTGTGCATATATCTACTCATGTTATGGCTCGTATTTCTTGGGGGAAATATCAAGTAGAGGAATTCCTGGATCATAAGATATTTTTATTTCCAACCTTCTGAGGAAGTGCCATATTGCTTTCCAGGGTTGTTAGACCATTCTGCAATCCCACCAACAATGTAGGAGAGGTTCCCAGTCCAGAGAGCAATTCTTGAAGAAGCAGAAACAAATAACCTGTTCATCAGCTTTATTTTCTTAGGAGCTAAGTTTCTCTGAATAGGATTCTTCTATTTCAAATCTACTCATCTTCACTCTGTAAACTCTTATTATGTATTACATGAAATATTTTTAGTGAAAAGGAACAACCATATTAGGGAACACTGGACTATAGAGAAAAAAATCACCATTTTAGCACAATTATGGTTGAAGTTTTTTGTATATTTCCTTCTCTCTTTTTTTTTTCCTTGAGTGTATATTATACTCATATACATGCATCTAAGTAGTTTGTGTTGTCTTTTTATCATTTAACATTGCATCATGCTTATAACATAAAGATCGTTCCATGATATTAGATTTTATGATCATCTGTTTAAATACATCTCCACACGTTTAAGGATGTTCAAATATATTGCTCATTCCACTGTCAGATAGCCAGGAAAAAGCACCTAAAAAGTTCTTATGACAAAAACTCAAGCACTTGATATCTTCAAGATACTGTTAAATGTCAAGATTAAAAAATGAAGCTTTATTAAAAATATACATATGACAAATAGGCATATGAAAAGATGGTCAACATACTTAGTCATCAAGAGAAGATATAAAGACACACCCACGTGAATGATAAAATTAAAGAGACCGCTCAGAGTAGGAGGCAGAGCAGCTGGAAATCTCAATGCTGATGGAATCACAATGGTACAGCCACTTAGAAAGTGATTTGGTAGTTTCTTATAACATGGGGTAACTCTGCAATTCCATCCTAGGCATTTACCCCAGAGAAGTGAAAACATCCATCCATACAAATACTTGCACACCAATGTTTATGGCACCATTATTAATAATAGTCAAAAAGTAAGAACAACCTAAATGTCCATCTGTCTGTGAATGGATACATAGATTGTTGCTGTTGTTGTTAGGTGCCATCGAGTCAGCACCAACTCATAGCGACCTTATGCACAGCAGAATGAAACAATGTCCAATCCTGGGCCAACCTCACTACTGTTGCCACATTTGAGTCCATCGATGCTGCCACTTGGCTAATCCATCTCGTTGGAGGTCTTCCTCTTTTTCTCTGATCCTCCATCTTACCAAACATGATATTCTTCTCCAGCGACTATCCCCTCCTGATTAGGGTACATATAATACAATGGAATACTACCCAGAAATTAAAAAGAATGGACTATTGATAAACACAACAGTATGGATGAATCATAAAACATTTTGCTATGCCAAAGAAGCCAAATAAAAAGGCTACCTGTTGTGTGATGCCATTTATTCCACTGTGGGAAAGGCCAACTCTGAGAAACAGAAGCCAGAGCAATGGTTACGAGGGGCTGCAGGTGAAGGAAGGGGACTGACTGGAAAGGGGCAGGAGGGAAGTTTTCTGGCTGCTTTGAGATGTCCTATATCAGGGTAGTAGTTATTTGACTTTTGTCAAAACTCATTGAAAAGGAATTCTACTGTATGTAAATTATATCTCAATAAATCTGGCTTCCAATCAAAGCTACTTCTTTTCTTCATCTATTGTTAGTCTCCACTCCCAGAGGATGGTAAAGAGTAAAATTAAAATCCCATCAACCAACACTTGGTATGATTTTCATACAAGTTCCCACTGTTCACATGTAGCACCACCAGTAGAACATGAGTCAGTAGAATGAATTCAGGTATCTTTGCTCCAGAGTTCCTCTGCTTATCCATGGTTTCAGATTGAATTCCCCACCTTTTGAGGTCCTCCTACTTTGTCTTTCTCTTACAAAGATGCTGCAACTTTAGTAACATCCTTTGGTTCCTTCTCTTTACCTTCGTTGCTCTGCTTCTGCTCTGCTTTCTGTTCTTTTGCCACTAGTCGATAATTGATGCCCATGCCAATGAAGAGATAGATCCCGGCAAAAATTAGGATTATGCCACATGCCCAATATGTGTACTTGTAGTCTCCATATATGTCACTGAGATGACCTAAAGTCAATCAAAAAAAAGGAAAGGAAGAAAGAAGTTGTTATGTGGGTTCAAAAAACCAGGTATATACTCTTTCCCAAATAAAGCCTAAAGATTCACTCAGAAAGGGGGAGTAGTAATTCTAGTCTCCTAAGAACCCATCTCTGGTAGCGTAGTGGTTACGAATCAGGCTGCGAACCTTAAGGTCAGCGGTTCGAAACTACCAGCCGCTCCGTGGGAGAAAGATGAGGCTTTCTACTCCCGTAAAGATTTACACCCTCGGAAACCCTGTACAGGGTCGCTAGGGGTCGGACCCGACTCGATGGCACTTAACAACAACAACAACAACAAAGAACCCATCAGCGTCCTGGTGTAGCACTGTAGGTTGCACACTGAACTGATAACTGTAAGGTCAGTGGTTCAAGTCCACCAGCAGCTCCTTGTTGTTGTTGTTGTCAGGTGCCATCGAGTCGGAACCGACTCATAGCAACCCCATGCACAACAGAACGAAACAATGTCCAATCCTGGACCAACCTCACTACCGCTGCCACACTTGAGTCCATCAATGATGCCACCTGGCTGATCCATCTCGTTGGGGGTCTTCCTCTTTTTCTCTGACCCTCCACCTTACCCAGCATGACATCCTTCTCCAGCGACTGTTCTCTCCAGACAATGTGTCCAAAGTAGGAGAGACGAAGCCTAGCCATCTTGGCCTCCAAGGAGCACTCTGGTTGCACTTCTTCCAAAGCAGCTCCTTAGAAACCCTATAAAGGGTTGCTGTGAGTTGGACCCGATTTGACAACACTTAACACACACACATAAGAACCCATCAAAGAGTCCTACTGGTGCAATAGTTAAGCATTCACATGCTAATCAAAAGGTTAATTATTCCAACCCACCCGGCTACTCTGTGGGAAAAAGACCCAGAGCCCTGTTCCTGTAAAGATTACCGTCTTCACAACCCTGTGAGGGTATTTCTACTCTGTCATATGGGTTTGCTATGAGTAAAAAATTGTCTCAATGACATCAAACAACAAGAACCTATTAGTCTTTACAGAGTCTACCAGATGAAAAATACAGCTAAAAATAAAGTGCTAAAAAGGATCACCTCTTTAATTTGCAATGTCAGAATGATTTTAGAATGACTGTATGTTTTGTTACTGTAGAAACTTAGCAATCATTGAATTGTCTTTTGATGTCTAGGGCGGAAAGGCCCTAGAGATCATCTCATTTGGTTTTCTTATTTGATAAAGGAAAGAGCTGATACTCAAAGAAGATTGTTCAAGTTCACACAGCTATTTATAACTCAAGTTTCCAGACACCAAAACCAACGATTTTTCCCAGCATCTGTACCTCCCAAAGAATCTTCCTGTGAACACTTGTCCCATGCTAAAAAAATAAACAAAGCATAACTTTAAAAAAGAAAATTCTATTACTATTGTGGACCTTATCTTTCAAGATGAAGGAACTGAGGCACCCCAAAAAACCTGAATGCCAATAAGTCAATTCAAACTCACAGCAACCCTATATTGGGTTGCCTGGACTCTCTCTTTACAAGAGCAGGCAGCCTCAACTTTCTCCCATACATCACACAGCTGGTGGGTTTGAACTGCTGACTTTGCAGTTAACAACCCAGTGCCTAACCCACAGCACCACCAAGCACAGGCCTAGTGAATAATTCAACCTAGGAAATCTGATTCTGGAGACTACACTTTTATTTTATAGGATGCCACTGTAACATATCTCAAAAGTCAAATAAGTTTGAGATGCTACATATCATTTTTTTTCCTGTTGTTATTGTTATGTGCTGTGGAGTTGGTTCCGACACATAGCGACCCTGTATAGGGTGTCCAAGGCTGTACATCTTTATGGGAGCAAAAAGCCTCATCTTTCTCGTGTGGAAAAGCTGGTAGTTTCGAACTGCTGACCTTGTGGTTCACAGCCCAATTTGTAACCACTACGCTACCAGAGCTCCTTCATACATTCTATGTTCTGATTATTAATAGGTGTTTTCAGCTGTTTCTTCTCTTTTGAATCCATTCAACTTGTTAAGTGCCATTGAGTTGGTTCTGACTCACAGTGACCATGTATAGGGCTTCCAAGGAGCAGCTGGTGAATTGAACCACTGACCTTGTGCACTGGTGACTTTGAACCTGGACTCCATTTGGAGATGCACTTTTTGTTAAAGTAAATTTAGCATTTCATAGAAATTGTTTCCTAAGAAATAATACTTTGGAGAATACCACTTTCTGCTGGTAAAAGGCTTGATATGGCCAGTTCAAATATGAACCCATGTGTTTTCAGTCATGCACCATTCATCCAGCAGTATTTATTGATTCCTATAATATGCCAGGCACTCTCTGTGCCAGGCCTGAGGATTTACGTGTGAACAACAAAGAGAAGATAGTATCTCTGTCTTTATGAAGTTCAGTCATAGGTCAGTGGTGAAGAACGATGTTAATCAGAAAGCCACATAAGTCAAACACCTGTAACTGTGACAAGTGCTACAAAGTGCATTTAAAATCAGAACTAGGGGATGTGACCAGTAAGTGGGGTCTGTAAGTCCTCCCTGGAAGTGTCAGCTAAGCTAGGACTTGAAGGAGGACAGAAGTTAACCAGGTAGGAAGAGGACCCAGGCAGATCAAATGCAAAGGTGCAATGTGGTAGGAAGAAGCATGGAGTGTGAGAGGGAATGGAACATGATAAGGATGCTAGAACAGAGAGAGCAACAAGTGAGTGGTAGGTAATGAGGCTGGAGAGACAGGCGTTGGAGGCAAATTAAGGAATGCAATCCTCACCCTAAGAACAGTGGGAAGGAAAGAGAGTTCTAATCAGTAGGATATCAGATCTGCAATTGCAAAGATGATTTTGGCTACAGAGTAGAAACCAGATTGAAGACCACTTAGACTAGGTGTGGGTAAATCAGTTAGGAAGTGACTGGAGCAGCCCAGATAGGAGACTGGACCATCACATTTTTCATCTACCTGTGGTACAGAGTAATAGGTAGATTAGAGAGAGATTTAGGAGATAAAAAGTGATAGAACTTGGCAAATCATTGGGTATGGGGAGAAGAGGTACAGGGAGGGAAAGTTTAAAAAGTCTAGAAGATCTTCTTTTCTGCTTCCTCCTTACTTTATAATACATAATCTCAAAAGCATCCAGTCAAATCCAGAGGAAGGTCAATTATTTTTATTTTGTACCAAATAATAATGCTAAGGAATCAAGAATTTGATATTCTCCGGGAATAATCTGTCAAGTTTTATGGTCACTTATTAGCTGTGTGATTTTGGGCAAGTTATTTCATTTTCAGAAGTATCTATTTCTCAGAAGGAGTCCTGGTGTGGTGCTGTAAGGTAAACACTGGACCACAAGGTCAGTTTGAATTGCAAGATGGATAGCTTAAATTCACAAGTCGCTCCTGAGAAACCCTGGACAGGGTTGCTGTGAGTCAGAACCAACTTGACAGCACTTAACAACAACAACATTTCTCATAACTTGTGAGATATGACAGGATATGTAAAATAGTTAAGACCGTTCCTGACATCCTGTAAGCCCTCACATGTTAGCTCTTGTTATTATTTTAATTGTTACTACTAAAATGAATCCTATTAGAAATGAAATCATCACCAGTACTTTAAACATGTATATTACACATTTTTCTACAATAAGCATGGTTATCTTATGAATAGGAAACAATTGTTTTAAAGAAAACTGACATTCTGTAGTAATATTTGATTCCCCTTTCACATGATGTCTCCACTTAATCCGATTCTTACGTATTTGAGCAGTTATGCTGTGCCGAGCATTGTACAAGCACTGAGTGTACAGAAATGAGAGAGACTTGCTCAAGCATCTTGCTAATCTCTTTTCTATCACCTTACCAACCTTGTGTACCTGTTAAATGATACTAGAACCACAGAAGTAGTAGGGCATACTGTACCTAAAAGTGGTGGGCCAAGGAGGATAGGGCAGCATTCCATAATGGTCACCAATCCCATAGCGCTGGAGAACCTCTGGGGTCCAATGAGGTCCATTAGTGTTTCAAACAACACTGAGCTGAACCACCCAAATGCAAATCCAAGGAACCCCGCATAGACACAAAACCCAGTATAGCTGGTGGCTAAAGGTACCAACATATGGCACACTCCATTTGCAATAATAGAAGCTGCAAAGAAATACTGAATATAAGGTCTTACCCACTTGGTGTTGGCTACAAGTCCCATGGATGGTCTGGCTACAATATCAACAAATGACAAAATGGAAAGAAGGAAGGCAGCATTTTCACTACGAAAATGCTGACTCTTAGCATAATTAGTAAGAAAGACTAAAGGGGTAGCCAGTGCAAAACTCATCGGCAAATTAGCAGAGAGGTACAGCACAAAACCTCTATGAGTAAACAGGGATAAGTCCAGAGATTTGCTCATTCTTTGCAACACTGACTGCTTCTCCACTTTGGAGTTTCCATCATTCAGACTGGTATGTGCATCACCTGCACCTTTTTTTCCATCACATTGTCCAGCTTCTTGAAGGGGATCTTTAGTCTTGTCTTTCTCAGCATTGGTTGGCTTGGGTCCTATTGGTCTCATGAGGGATCCAGCTACACAGCAGTTTAATAGGAAGGCCCCAAGAACTAGAAAGCTTCCTCTAAAACCAAAGTTATCATAGAGAGTCTGATTGAGGGGGGCCAGGATAGCAAGGAGCACAGGGCTGCCTGCCATGGCCAGTCCATTTGCCAATGGTCGTCTCTTGCTGAAATACTTGCCAATCATGGTCAGAGCTGGATTCAAGTTGAAGGCAAGTCCAAGGCCTGGGGAAGGAAGAGAAAGAGAAAAAATTATATATACATATATATGTATATATATACACATATACACACATGTTTATATGTTATTAAGTGCTGTTGAGTTGATTTTGACTCACAGTGATCCTGTATAGGGTTTCCCAAGCTGTAAATCTTTGTGTAAATCTTTCTTCTGACATTTAACAACATGGTTTTATATATGTTGTTGTAGTTAAGTACTGTGGAGTCGGTTCCGCCTCATAGTGACCCTGCACAGGGTTTCCGAGACTGCAAATCTTTATGGGTGCAGAAAGCCTCATCTTTCTCCCATGGAACAGCTGGTAGTTTCGAACTGCCAACCTTGAGGTTAGCAGCCTGATTCATAACCACTACGCTACCAGAGCTCCTTGATTTCATATAGATAGATAGATAGATACACATTAACAACAAATACTATCAGAAGCCTATTTCTTACTAATTAACTAAACAAAGAAATTGAAAGTTAAAAAATAATCATGATTCTGAGAGGTCATTATAACAAGTAGATGATTAAATGGACAAAAAGTGTCCTTATACAGCAAATATGAGATTTACAATCCATTTTACTCTAGCAACAAAAATTGTAAATGGTGGATCTATTTAGTTTCAATAGAGAGGGAATAATCACCTAAATTCAGAAAGCAAGGCAGAGAGAAGGGCAGACAGACAATATTTTTGGATAATAAAATAAAGCATTGCCAAGTTGTGAACATTATTAAGTGAATTCATTAATTTATTGCAATCCCTATAAGAATATCAATGTATTTTATTTTTCAGATGAGGAAAATGACTCTAAAATACCTGGAAAACAAATGCATTAGAATGTCCAGGATTTATTTGCGAAGAATAAATAATTGGTGGAACCAATGCAAACAGATACACAAATGTGTCATATAGCTATAGTAATTAAAAAGTGAGGCACTATTCAAGAATAGATATACTGATCCATGAATACGGACAGAAATTCCAAGAACAAAAGCAAAAGACACATTGAAATGAATATGGAATGAATGGATTTTCTAATCAATGGGGGTACAACAAGTAGTTATCCCCATAGTCTTCTAAGTGGTCTCCCATTCTTGCTTCCCTATTAGGTAAACCAGATCAGGATGTACCATGATTTCAGTTCAGTGCTCCAATCAGTTAATAAACTGAATGTACCCAGAGGTGTCTCAGATGAAACGCCTGACAGTGTTTGAAAAATCAACCAATGAGAACCTTATGGAGCACAGTTCTACCCAACACACATAAGCTCACCATGAGCGAGAGTGGACTGGAGGGCTACTGTGTGGTGGTGGAACGACTGCCCATCTACAACTTCTTCTTCTGGGTTTAGAAGTCCCATGATTTGGCTCTCCCCTAATTCCCTGCCGTCATCCCAGTCTATTCTCAAGTGTACTCATTTTGTGACTGCCCTAGAACCTTTAACTAGCTGTTCCCCTCAGCATTCATTTAGAGCTCAATTCAGAGAGACCATCCCTTTAAGGACAATCTAATCTTCCTTCATTAAAAGCTCTGTTTGAATTCTTTGCATAGTATTTAGTACTACCGGAAATGTTTTTCAATTTATGTATTTGCTGATCTATTTATTATCTTTACTTCCCTGTACAAAAGAACAGAAATCTTGCCTAATATGTTGACTTGATCACCATGGAATACTGCCTAGCATGCAGTGGGGATTCAACAAATGTTTCCTTAATGAATTAATAAATATTCTTGATGGATTAAAACATCTACAGGTAAAAACAAACCAACAAATAAATAAAGTGGTGAAAGAATAAATTCAAATAGATAATACCCATGACTGTCATCATTTCCTATCCTATAAGGGGAACTTTTATTTATTTTTCATTATAATCTTTCTGAAATATAATTTGGTTAATTGTAACAAAAAACATTGTCCCCAGTAATTCCATTTCTATACATTTACCCTAAGGAAATACTCATTTTCAAAGATGTATGTTGTTGTTAAGTGCCATTGAGTCAGTTCAGGCTCATAGTAACCTTGTAAAGGGTTTCAGAGGAGTGACTAGTGGGTTAGTCCAGTGCTTATCCCACACCAGGACTCCTCAAAGATATACAGAGAAACACTATTATGCCAATGGTTTTCATTAACAGTAAAAATGGTAAACAACCTAAATGTACATCAATTAGAGACTAGTGGCATAAATTATGCTATACTCATGCATTAGAAAAATAATAATCTGTTGAAGTATACTTATTAAGAGGGGCAATTATGTGTTGTTTTTGTTGCTAGGTGTCATAAAGTTGGTTCCGACTCATAATGACCCTATGCAAAACAGAATAAAGCATTGCCTGGTCCTGTTCCGTCCTCACAATTGCTGTTAAAGTTGAGCTCACTGCTGTTGACACTATGCCAATCCATCTCGTTGGGGGTCTTCCTCTTTTTCTCCAACCCTCCACCCACCAAGCATGATGTCGTTCTTCAGGGACTGATCCCTCCTGCCAACATGTCTGAAAGATAAAAGATGAAGTATTGCAATCCTGACTTCTAATGAGCATTCTAACTGTACTTTTTCCAACACAGATTTGTTTGTTTTTCTGACAGTTCATGGAACTCAATATTCTTCTCCAGCACCATAACTCAAATGCATCAATTCTTCTATGGTTTTCCTTATTCATTGTCCACCTTTCACATGCATATGAGGCTATTGAAAAGATCATGACTGGGTCAGGTGCACCTTAACTCTTCATACTGACATCTTTGCTCTTAAACACTTTACAGCAGTCTTGTGCAGCAGATTTGACTAACACAAAACATTGATTTCTTGACTGCTGCTTCCATGAGTGTTGATAGCGAATTCAAGCAAAATGAAGCCTGACAACTGCAATCTTTTCTCCATTTATTGTGATGTTATTTATTGCTCCAGTGGTGACGATACTTATTTTCTTTACATTAAGGTGCCATCCACACTGAACACTGTGGTCTTTGATCTTCATCAGTAAGTATTTTAAGTCCTCTTTACTTTCAGCAAGCAAGGTGTGTCATCTGCATATCACAGGTTGTGAATGAGTCTTCTTTCAATCCTAATGCCATGTTCTTCTTCATACATAATTCAGTTCAGTGGATTATTTGCTTAGCATACAGATTGAATAAGTATGGTAAAAGAATACAACCCTCATGCATACCTTTCCTGATTTAAAATCATTCAGAATCCTCTTATTCTGTTCATGTGACTGCCTCTTGGTCTATGTACAAGTTCCAAATGAGCACAAATAAGAGTTCCTAAATATCCATTCTTCACAATGTCACCCATAGCTAGTAATGATCCACACAATCGAGAGCCTTTCCATAGTCAATAAAGCACAGGTAAACATCTTTCTGGTATTCTCAATTTTCAGCCAAAATCTATCTGATGTCAGCAGTGATATCCCTCGTTCAGTGTTGTCTTAGGCTGGCTTTTCTAGAAAAACCAGCTTTTCTCTATGTATCTATATACACATACATACATATATAGAGAGAAATGTGGTAGTTATATGCCATGGAGTTGGTTCCGACTCATAGCGACCCTGTATAGGGTTTCCAAGGCTGTAAATCTTTATGGGAGCAGAAAGCCTCATCTTTCTCCCACAGAATAGCTGGTAGTTT